GGACAACTACATCCGTGTTCAGGTTCCCATAGCAAGCAAAGCCAAGTTACAAAAGCTCATTGTGTAGTTTTAGCCAAGCTACTCATCCTCCTCCTGTTATTCATTTCTGGGTAACTTAAAGGTCAGGACTATTCTTAATTTTGATCTGTTAGTTCTTTGTGGGCCGTTGCTCAGGTGTGTGAGCTCAGTTCCTAGAAACTTTGCACAGGCTGTCAAGCTGCTGAGGTGGCTAGGGAATTAAGCAGGCCTAAAAGTTTTCCTACTCTGTAACAGTGCCAGCTGCGGGTGCAAGCAGGGCCATTGCCAGCAGTGGGTGTGAGAGGCGACTGCCACCCTGATCACCCCTGAGGAGCAGGGGGAGGTGGAGAAGCTCTCAGGGGCAATCGGTACCGCCAGCCACCGCTCACACCCACTGACAGCGCTGTGATTGGGGCTGGTGCTGGGCCCTGGCAGCGGGTGTGGGCGGGGCTAGCACCGGCAGCCAGTGCGAGCGCTGGCTGGACTGCAGTGCACAGGAGCAAAAAATTTTCAGTAACAATGACAGCGACTGGTGCCCCGCCTTGGTCTGGCGCCCCCACTCACCTGCCCCGCCGTCCCTCCATGGCCTATGCCCACCATGTTCCACACTCTGCCACCTGCTGCCTACGCCCACCATGTTCCACATGCGTCCCCTGGTAGTCAGCGCACGTCATAGCGACTGGTTGTTCGGTTGTTCTGCCATTCAGTCTAATTGCATATTAGGGATATATATATATATAGTTTTCAGAGAGAAAGGGGGAGGAAGAGAGATTCAATCAATGATGAGAGAGAATAATTGATCAGCTGCCTCCTGCATGCCCCCTACTGGGGATCGAGCCTGTAACCCAGGCATGTGCCCTGTCCTGGAATCAAACCGTGACCTCCTGGTTCATAGGTCGACACTCAACCACTGAGCAGGAACATTTCTCTTTTTTTGGTTAATCCTCACCCAAGGATATTTTTCCATTGATTTGTTTTAGAGAGAGTGGAAGGGAGGGGGAGCGAGAGAGAGAGAGAGAAAAAGAGGGAAAGAGAGAGGAAACATTGATGTGAGAGAGACACATTGGTTGCCTCCCACGGGCTCCTGACCACAGCTGGGGATCGAGCCTATATCCAAGGTACATGTTCTTCACCGGAATTGAATCCAGGACCCTTCAGTCTGTGGGCTGATGCTCTATCCACTGAGCCAAATGGGCAGGAATACTTTATTGAATGCATGTATTTAAATGCTTTTGTGGTAGATAATTTATTCAGCTGGCTCAAAACTTGAAGTAAGCCTCTGACCTGTTTTTCAACCACCCAATTTCCTTGCTGAATGGCAAACAATGGCTCATTTCTTGTTTATTTTTCAATAGGTATTTGATGTATACATAAGCCAAGGTGAACATATTCTCCTTTTCTCCCTCACTTTTTTACACACAGCTAGCATGCAATACATTGTTCTGTATCTAGCATTTTCTTTTAAGCAATATATCTCAGACATTGTCCAATACTAGCACCTAGGTAGCTTCCCCACACTTTGCCTTGTAGAGTTCCACTGCAGCAATGGTTCTCAACCTTGGCTGCACATTAGAATCACCTGGGAATCTTTTTAAAATCCTGATTTCTGGGCATCATCATCTGAAAATTCTGTTTCTTGTGACCCCACCCCATAACAAAGAAACAGAATTTCCGGAGGATGAGGCCCAGAAATCAGGATTTTAAAAAGATTCTCAGGTGATTCTAATGTGCAGCCAAGGTTGAGAACCACTGCACTGTAGGAATGACCCTAATTTATTTAAGCAATCTCCAGCTGTTTTATGGTGAGGGTGTTTCCAGCCTTTTACTACCATCAACAATGCTGTAGTGAACAGCCTGGTTGAGACATAATGTCATATATGTGAGTGTCTCTATGGGACAAAGCCTTAGAATTGCTGGGTAAGGTATATATGTGATTTTTAAAGATATTTTTAGATTGCTCTCCAAAGAGCAACACTTTCACTATATAGTAGGTGAAAACTTTTATTTCAGTAGAGTTTGATTTGCACCACTTTCTTCATCAATGTAGTTAAGTAGCTTTTTATGTTTAAAAGTGTGTGTGTGTGTGTGTGTGTGTGTGTGTGTGTGTGTCTGTGTGTACTCTGTTTTTATCACCTGCTCACTTTTCTTGTGTGTTCCTGGTCCTTTTCTAATCAATGTACAGGAGCTCTTTATGTATTAGGGGAATTAGATCTCTGTTCTGTGAGCTAGAGATAATTTCCCATTTGTTGTTTGTCTTTTGACTTTGCCTTTGGGCTACTGCTAGGCAGAATTATCTTTCTGTAGTCAAATTTATCAGTCTTTGATTTTATGGCTCCTAGGTTATGTGTGTCTTGCTCAGAAAGGAGCAGGACCTTCCCCCCACCCCTCTACTCCACACACACCTTTTTTAATTTTGTCAGTACAAGAGGCTTGGAATGACCTACCAGGTTTTGTGAGGAAGAGGACAACTCCTCCCCTCTAGTCAATCCCCAACTTAGGGAGACACAAAGTAAACTCACTATTGCAATTCTGTTATAATAAACTAGAGGCCTGGTGCACGACTTTTGTGCACTGGGGGCGGGGGTCCATCAGCCCAGCCTGCGCCCTCTCACAGTCCGGGACCCCTCAGTGGATGTCCGCCTGCTGGGGATGGACATCCCCCAAGGGGTCCCTAGCACTGCCGTGAAGGCAGGAGTGGCTTCTGCCACCGTAGCTGCTCACCAGCCGTGAGCCTGGCTTCTGCGCACTGACCGCCAGGGGGCAGCTCCTGAATTGAGTGCCTGCACCCTGGTGGTCAGTGCATGTCATAGCGACCGGTCATTTTGCCACTTGGTTGATTTGCATATTAGGGTTTTATTATATAGGATGAGAAAGTGGCACAATGGGTACCAGCCTGAGTTGGCCAGGGAAGGCTTTCCAAAGTAGGTGGCACCCAGACACACAGAGGCATGAGTAAGAGTCAGCCAGGTAAAGAACGGCCTTCCAGTAAAAACATCAGCATTTGCAAAGGCAAGAAGCAGCAGGACTCCATCAAGGTTGTCCTGTCTGCAGGACTGGTGTGGTGTAAGGGGTGGAGTTAGAAAGGTAGGCAGGGGCCAAGTATGTCTTACTCAGGAGTCAGGGCCTTACTCTAAGGCAGTGGGGAAGTGGCAGAGGGACACATAAGCTGTATGGAGGAAGAACTGACAGCCCAGTGTAGAGACTGGGACCTGGCTCAGAGGCTTCCGTTCCTTGACCAGCAGCAGCCCTAGCAGCCTATAGAGCAGTGGTTCTCAACCTTCTGGCCCTTTAAATACAGTTCCTCATGTTGTGACCCAACCATAAAATTATTTTCGTTGCTACTTCATAACTGTAATGTTGCTACTGTTATGAATCGTAGTGTAAATATCTGATATGCAGGATGGTCTTAGGCGACCCCTGTGAAAGGGTCGTTCGACCGCCAAAGGGGTCGCGACCCACAGGTTGAGAACCACTGGCCTACAAACTTCTCTGCTCCTGTGATCTTTTATTAAAACAGTATTTTATAGCAGGACTCCTGGGCAACAGTCTTCCCAAAAGGGTCCAGCACAGAGCCTGGCCCACAATAAGCACTCAGTAAATGGTAGCAGTTCCTATTAAAATTGGAAAGCCTCACCATTCATTAGCAGGGTGCTGAAGGAAAGGAAGGGCCATGTGGACAGGAAGAGGGACGCTGGAAACCAGTTAAGTGGAATTTTGGGACTGTCTCTGAATTTCAGTCACCCAGGCTCTCCCCACACCCCGACCTCCAAACCAGCCAAATAGGCTGGTTCTTGGTGCTGCCATTTTAGTTATATTTTCTTCAGTGCCAGGAGGCAGTTTTATCCCAAAGGGTCACTTGATTAAGTCAAGTGCTATAGAGATAGAGGCTCCTGGAGGCTTTGGGAGGCCTTGGTTCCAGCCAGGCTTCCTGGTACCCCTTGAAGGCACCTCTACTCTCAGTGGTCTGAGGGCATGCATGGGGTCCCATTCACCCCTGGCCTGGAAGACAAGAGAGCAGAAAGCCAGCCCTAATCTCAGCTCCAAATAGGAAAACAAGCACCTCCCCGGTGCAGCAACCAAACAGCAATTAGGTCAAAGGCAGGAGAGAGTTTCTAGGGCTGAGCATTGTGTCTGGAGCCTGCTTCCTCGTCCATTTGTGTTGTTGGGCACTGGGTGGGTGGGGCACACTCAGGCCCCCATCTGAGGTGCAGCAAAATTGAGGACACAGGCCCTGGCTGGTGTGGCTCAATTGGTTGGATTGTCATTCCATATATCAAAAGGTCGTAGGTTCAATTCTCAGTCAAGGCACATGCCTGGGTTGTGGGTTTGGTCCCCAGTTGGGGTGAGTACGAGAGGCAACCAATCGATGTTTCTCTCACATCAATGCTTCTCTCTCTCTCTCTCTCTCTTCTCTTCTTCCTCCCCCCCCCCCCTAAAATCAGTAAACATGTTCTCAGTGAGGATTAAGGAAAAAACACACAAGAACAACTGAGGACACCAGGAAGCAAGGGGACTGAGTTTCAGGGCAGGTTCCAACCCTGCTGGCTGTGTGCCTGTCACTTGCATAAAGGGCTACATCTGCTTAGGTTCGGGATTTTATTTTTCCCAAAATGAAACAGTCTATTTCAGTAATGTTAGGAATAAACTTCCATTTATTTTACATTTACTATGTGGGAGGCACTCAGTGGGGTCGTTATTCTACACAAATTATCTCATTTGATTCTCTTAATAACTCTGGGAGGGTAGAGTGATATAGATGAGGAAAGTGAGGGTCAGAAAGGCTGAGCCCTGAGCCAAGGTCCCACTGCTAGCAGGTGGTAGAGCTGGGATATAAACCAGGGCTGTCTTGCTTCAGAGCCCTTTGCCCTTAACCACTGTGTGCCATGGGGCCTAACAAGCACCGGATCATTCCTCACCCACACCTGGCAACACCCCGATCTCTGAGACCACAGATGGGCTGTGAAAGAAGGAAGGAGTCTCTCAAAAGGTCACTTTTCTTTATTTCCCAGTACCCCCAATCTTACAGCATGATCAGGGTCTTTCCAACGTGTAGGCTTTCCTGACCCTGCAGGGCAGCTGAAGTTCCAAAGGCCTAGCCAGGGGCCCGTCACACTGGGAATCTCCAGCTGAGACCATTTCTAAAAGTGGTTCCTGGGCACAATGTGGAATCAGGTTGGCCAGTCACTCCTCAGTCCCCTCCTAGAGGCACAGGGACAATGCAGCAGCTTGCCCCTCTGGCTTGCTGGAACCATCCCAGGAAAAGGAGGGGAGGAACTCCAGATAGCAAGGAGTCTTCTGGCTGAAAGAAGTTGAGACCTGGGCCAATTTACCTCGGGGCAGGTCGGGCCCTTGGAGACTGTGGAGCAGACCCAGGCTAGACCCCTACTCAGCAAAGGTGAATTCCCGCCATACTTTGCCAATGTCCACCTTCACTGACATGGCCTGAAAACACACTGGGTACAGAGGGACACACATGAGAGATCCTGGGTTCAACCCTGTTGAAAGCCAGCATGCTGGGAGAGAACTTCCTTCACTTTGTCCACAATGGTGTCCACCTCAGCCATGGCCCCCAAACCTAGGGAACAAAGTTCTGCTGTGGCCCTGCAGACTGAGGCAGGGTACCACCCCCGACTCCCATCCCACCCAGTACTCCCCCAAGGGCTCCACCCAGACCCCAGTGCCTGAGAAGGACAGGACCTTCTGCCTGAGCCAGACCCTCACATCCTTCTGAAACCCACCAGGACAGGCCCCGGAAACAGTTACAGTAGCTGTCATGAACTATGCACGGGCTGTGTGCCAGGGATACCATGCACCTTACATGAACTATCTCATTTAATCCTAACAACTCTGAGGGGGAAGGAATTGATTTCCATCTTCCAGATGAGAAAGCTGGGCTCGGAGGAGAATGGTTTTGCCTGAGGTCACAACAGGCTGGGATCTTAATCCAGATCTGACCATGGGCCATGAGGACAGGCTGTAAGCCTGGCCAGGTGCCCACCTTGGTCTCCACACACCAGCTTCTTGGCCACACAGGGGATCTCGATATAGCCAAAGGCCTGGAGCTGGCCCACCTGCTGCGAGGTAAGAGGATGCTCCCACATGGCAGTGTTCATTGCTGGGCAGAAGAGCAGGGGCTTTCCGCGGTCCCAGGCCCGGATGACACAGGTCTGTGAAAAAGGATGGGGAAGGGGGCGCCTGCTGTTCCAGCTGCCATCCTCCCCAACCCTTCCAAATCCTACACACCATCCTCTGGGTCACAAGCAGCCATGAGGTTAGGATGACTGAGGTTAGGATGACTGAGGGCTGCTATCTGCAGGGAGCTGTCTCATGTCCCTCTAGGAAAAGAGAGGGGAGTTCAGAGAACAATGAAATGAAGAGGCCAGGACCTATGCCACCCTTCTCAGTGCCCCTGCCCTCTCCTGAGGACAGGAAGGAAGTAGGACAGCACATAGCCTCTGGATCTGGCTGTTTGCATCGACCCAGACACCAGCATTTGTTTCCCACCAATGTCTCTCAGAGTTCAGCAACCAAGCTATGAGTGGACAGTTTCAGTCACACTTTCTCTTGGCCCCATGACACCTGCTGCTTCTGCAAAAGTCATGAGTATACCTAGAAGAGCCCCCTGACTGCATGTAGGGTGGGGTGAGGGCTGGGCTGGGGTTTCTACGTGTCCTCAAAATAAAACACACTGATCAGAGCAGAAACCGAACCCCTCCATGTCCCACACTTTCTTGCTCTGTCCACCTCATCTCTAAGCTCAGGGCTTCCTGGACAAACCAGAGCTCCTCCAAACCTTCTGGCAGCAAGAGGCAAGAAAGGGGGCATTAGTTCCCATCATAACTTCTGTTTGGCCAAAACTGTATTCAGCAACTCAGGTTCTGCCCCTGGGAATCTGCTTGGGCGAAGAGAAGGCCTGGATCCCGATCAGGAGACCAGCTCCCAGCTAGACTGGTGACCCAAGGAAGTCTCCTCTTTCTGGATCTTCTTGGCTGTTTACCACAAAGAAGGGGCCAAGGACTGAGTAGGCCAGAGGGCAGGTCAGATGACAAAAGGCCCAGAGGCCAGTACACAGATTCACACTCAGCACACTGCTCTAATAGCACCACAAGTTCTGGGCACTAGAAAGGAAGGAAGGAGCAGGGCCCATCAGGGGGTTGAGGAGCTCCCCCTTGTCACTCACCGAGTAGGGCCGATAGGGGAGTTGGGGCACCGCCCCCTGTCACACACAGAGCAGGGCAGATCAGGGGGTTGGGGCGCCGCCCTCTATCACCCACAGAGCAGGGCCAATCAGGGGGTTGGGGCGCCGCCACTCTCACACTCAGGGTAGGGCCGATGGGGAGGTTATGGTTCTACCCTGTCACACACAGAGCAGGGCCAATCAGGGGGTTGGGGCGCCGCAGCCTGTCACACACAGAGCCGCAGGGCGATCAGGGGGTTGGGGAGCTCCCCCCTATCAGGCACAGAGCAGGGCTGATCAGGGGGTTGGGGCGCCTTCCCCTGTCAGGAACAGAGCAGGGCAGATAGGGAGGTTGTGGCCCCGCCCCCTGTCACACACAGAGCCACAGGGAGATAAAGGGGCTTGGGCGCTGCCCCCTGTCACACTGATCCCAGTGCCGGGAGGCCTCGCGGCTCCGCTGATCCCGGTGTTGGGAGGCATATTACCCTTTTACTATATAGGATAGAGGCCTGGTGCATGGGTGGGGTTGGCTGGTTTGCCCTGAAGGGTGTCCTGGATCAGGGTGGGGGTCCCAACTGGGGTGCCTGGCCAGCCTGGATGAGGGGATGATGGCTATTTGCAGCTGGTCACACACCCTTCAGGGTGGGGGTCCCCACTGGGGTGCCTGGCCAGCCTGGATGAGGGGATGATGGCTGTTTGCAGCTGGTCACACACCCTTCAGGGTGGGGGTTCCCACTGGGGTGCCTGGCCAGTCTGGGTGAGGGGCTGAGGGCTGTTTTCAGGCTGGTGGGTGACGGAAGCTCCCAACCGCTCCTTTTTTTCTTTTTTTTTTTATTCTGGGGCAGCTTTAGCTCTGAGGCTCCAGCTCTTAGGCCTCCGCTCCTGAAAGCAGGTATCTGGTTTGTTTCGGTTCTATAATCGAAACAATGTATAACTCCAGCTCTGAGATCCTGGCTCGCTGAAAGCAGGTTTCTGGGGTTTTGTTTAGCTTCTATATTTGTAACTATGTTTCAAACTGCAGGCTCAGAGGCCGGCAAGGCAGGCAGGAAACGTTGGTTTCCTCCGTCACTGAAGCAAGCAAGCCTCATGTTAGTTTCAAGCTGCCTGGCTGCCGGCCGCCATCTTGGCTGGCAGTTAATTTGCATATCGCCCTGATTAGCCAATGGGAAGGGTAGCGGTTGTACTCTAATTACCATGTTTCTCTTTTATTAGATAGGATATATATTTTAAGTTTGCCTTCAAGTGAAACCTTTTGTGGAAAATGATCTGGGCGCTGGTCTTGGGAACTTATTCTACTGTTCAGCCAACTCAGGAGGAGGGAACTCCAAAGATTTCAAGGAGCAATGGCAGCTTCAAGGAAAAAAAGGAAAGCAGAACTTTCAGGAGGAAGAAGGGAGCCCTCTCAGAGAGCAGCCTAGGCTGGGGCTTAAGTCCTAGAGCTTGGTGTGCTTCGCCACATCAGCCAGCTGCTGACTAGCAGTGGGAAGCCTAGAGGTTTGGTAACACAGTGCTGGTCACATACAACTCTGACCCACTTAAATCAAAGTGGCAGGAGGCTCACAGGCTCCAGCTGCCCTGTCAGCCCTGGCACCAACCCCACTGGGAAGCCTTCTGCACTCCCTTACCCTGCTTCTGGCCACACAACCTGTGTGCTGCCCTTCTTCTGGTCACCTTGTGTTCTTACTCAAATAATGCTTAAATCACTAGTAGATTCTTCCAAAGTGCCTTAAGTGCCAACAACAAGCATAGGAGGAGACTAACCTATCTGACCCCCCAAAATATTGACCCAGCTTCGTTATTCACTTCTTCACCATATTAAACTCTGAAAAACTCCAGGCTGTTTGCCACAGTAAAATTACTAATTATCTCATACATATAATAAGTATATGCCAACTAGTGTGCAAGGTGGTGACTCTATTGTCAAATGACTGACTGGAAACATTGAAGATTGGGCCACACACCAGAGCATACTCCCTTCTCACCTGAATGAGTGAACAAAAACCCTCTCCTTCCAGACTGTGAGTTCCCTGTGTCCTGTGTGTCTCTCAGCATGGGTCCAGTGCATGGTAGGTAAAAGCTCAATAAATGAGTAAAGGTAGGGTAATAAGGCAGAGGGAGGAGAGAGATCATGCCTAACTTCTTCCAGGATGATCAAGTACACAAAGTTTCTTTAAGGACAATAGCTCCCTGAAGATCTATCAATCCCACTTTGCACAGCTGAACTTGTGCTCCTTTCCTCCATCATCCATAAGCTCACACTCTTGCCCTGTCTTTCTCCTATTTTCCTCTCTCAGCTTTCCATGATACATAGGAAAACTGCACCTCCACCTGTGACTAAATACAGAAGAGATAAATGTGTGTGAAACATCCATGAAGAAGTAAACACTCTTATTAGTTGCCCATGTGGATACCCAGATCCCAGTGAGAAGGCAGGCAATGGAACTAGGCCAGGAGACTGACAGAATGGCAGCCCATGAATGAAGGACAAAGGGAGAAGAGCTGAGCATCAAAGGGCAGGTGAGTGGTGGACAGCCTCAGAAAGCACAGTCGAGTCCATCCATCCACCACACCTTCTGTCAACTTGTCAGAGCATAGGTGAGATGGGTAGGGGGCAGAGGGACAGTGTTCTGAGCAAACAGGACCATGATAAAAGGATTCCAAGGTGAGAACCTTACACAAAGGTAGTCTATAGCTCAGCAAACTGGGAGAGAGGTTCAAGGAGGAAGGAGGGCACAGGGATTCACTCACAAGCAAGTTGTCACAGATGCCACTGGCCACCTTCCCCAGAGTGTTGGCATCGAGAGGAGCCACCAGCATAAGGTCTGCCCACCTCCGAAGGTCAATGTGGAGAACTGGGTCGGACCGGCACTTCCACATCTGGCAAGGAGAAAGAAATGGGGTCACTGGGCAGACCACTCTGTTGGTGGAGGGAAGGAGGTGTGTGTGTGGGCGGGGGGACCTGGGGGGAGGAAACAGAGGCCAAGGACACTAAGTCAGGAACTGGAGGAAGACCACCTGATGAGCAACCCTGCCCAAATCCACTGCCACTCCCTCTCACAGCTAAGCTGGTGAGAGCACTGGCTGCAGAGTCAATAGCCTGAGAGAAACCAGGCCTAAGAAAACAAACGCCCCTTGTCTTTCCAAGCTATTCCCTTTATGGTTTGGTTTTCAAGAGAACTGACATCTGGCAGGGAACTCCTGCCCTGTCTGCTTGAGGCGGATGCTTGGGTTGTCTAAGCCAGTGGACAGTGAGAAATGTCTGGGGCAGTGAGAAATGGGGGAGGGGAAGAATTGGGGAAGACGGACCAATCAGAAATGTTCTAGGCGTAGAATGTTTAAAAATGCCTGGCAGGGCACCCCTTTGAGGCCCACACTCAATGTCTGGTGAATCAGCCAGTGCCCACCCTTCTGAGAGAGAGCAGATGTAGGCTGTGGGAAGTGAGGCACTCTGGACAGCCCTGACATTGGGAGCCATGGGGACATGGTGAGGGAAACAGAGCTCTTCTGTGGTTGTATCAGCCCAGATAAGCCCAAGGGCATTCAACTTCAGGCTCAGGGCCAACGCTGAGCTCTGCCTGGGGTGGGGGGAGACTATAGGCCTCCCACAGGCCAGAAGCTAGACAGTTGTTTTCCTCATCACCTCTGCCTTGAGGGCCCTAACTGCTGACGTGAGCCTGGTCTGTCTGCTCTGACCACCAGGACTATGGGCTGCAGGAGTACAGTCCTGTCCTATTGATAGACACATGATGGAACACAGCCCTGGGGACCCCCAACACTGACCTCCCATTCATCCGCATCGCTGTAGAGGGTGACAGGAATGTCCTGGGGGCTGTAGAAATGTTTGGCTCTTTCAGTTGTGACCACTGCTACTTCCAGCTGTCACCAAGAAAAAACAGGTGGGGGTGGGGGGTGATACATGTTATCAGAGCCACTCCTGGAGGCCATGTGGGACCAGGCCAGGCAAGAGCTTTCTTCATAGCCTAGCTACAGAGAGGACTTCTCCCTCCTTGGCAGTTTCCGTAACTACTTCTACTGTCACCAAAAGTTCAGGCCCCACCAGGTGTGGCTGTTTCACTTCCCTATCAAGGAGCTACTGTGGAATCAGCCATCAACTGTGCAATGTATATAAAGCTGCAGCTGCCACAGGCTCCTGCCGCTCCGGCAGAATGAGGCAAGAGCAGAGCCAGATGGGAAAGAAACTCAGGGCAAGAGCAATCCAGAGGCCATGGCTGGCAGGAGTGGCCATCCCAAGGAGGCTCACAGGTCCTGAGCTCTGGACCACATTGAAGCCCTGCCCTCTGCAGGTGAAGGCACTGGGAGCTGGGGCCTGGCACAGGGTTTGTGTCCATGGCCAGCGAGAGAGTAGGCAGTTTCTTCTCGTACTTCTAAGAACCAGGACTCATGGGCTCCAGCTGCAGACAGGCTCCAGGAAAACCAAACCCACATCACGTGCCTACACGCATGGGGCAAGAACAAAGTTTACCTTCATACTACTCATTTACTAGATAAGTTAACAATGCAAACAAGGGGGATGGTTAAGGTGCTTAACAGAATGATGGCCTTGAGAAAGAGCACATGGTAATGTGAACGGTACTCAAGGTAAAGGAGCCCAGAAGAGGTGGCTGTGAGAAGGATGTAGGAAATAACACGTTTGGGGGACATTTATCCAGAAGGGAGAAATGTCAAGTGTGACAAGGTCAGAATCATTGACTAACCAGAGGAGAGGTCATGGGTGATAGTGTCTGGGCCAGATCCAGTCTGCAGACATGTTGTTTGGCTTGCATGGGGTTATAAACATTTTTGAGCCAGTATATACAAATCAAAAGATTTCACATAGAAAACTTATTTTCCTGGCTTCTCTTGAAAATCAGAAGCTCTGGCAATGCTGGACCCATATTCCTACTGATAACGACTTAGTGGGATTGAGTGATGGCTGTCTCTTTGGATGAGGTGTGCCTATGCCCATTAACCTAGTCCCCAGCCCTCCCTTCCGTCTCCCCAAGGTTTTTTCTCATTTCTTTCCTGCTTGTCATGGGACAGCTTTCTCTCCAAGGTTTGCAGCGGGTGCTGGGACTCAGAGAGGCAGAGCCCCTGGGGACAGGACTGAGAGCCGCCATAACTGCTCTCTCCAGCCCACCCTGTTGATCCTGTGCGACCCGCCCTGCCCAAGCCCTGCACAGAGGCATTTGCCGGATAGCCTCAGGCAAAGGCTAGATTAGCACCTCCCTAGAGGACAGAAGTTCTCTCACTGCAGACACAGCTGATTCTCACAGCCACTTGGCCTGGAGGTCAAACCCTCCCTGGTATTAGCTACAACAATCAAGGCTTAACTACAAGACTGCGCACAAAGACCACTAGGGGGTGCACCAAGAAAGCATAACAAAATGCGGAGACAAAGAAACAGGACAAAATTGTCAATGGAAGATATAGAGTTCAGAACCACACTTTTAAGGTCTCTCAAGAACTGTTTAGAAGCCGCCGATAAACTTAATGAGATCTACAAGAAAACTAATGAGACCCTCGATGTTATGATGGGGAACCAACTAGAAATTAAGCATACACGGACTGAAATAACGAATATTATACAGACTCCCGACAGCAGACCAGAGGAGCGCAAGAATCAAGTCAATGATTTGAAATGCAAGGAAGCAAAAAACACCCAACCGGAGGGGCGGAATGAAAAAAGAATCCAAAAATGCGAGGATAGTGTAAGGAGCCTCTGGGACAGCTTCAAGCGTACCAACATCAGAATTATAGGGGTGCCAGAAGATGAGAGAGAGCAAGATATTGAGAACCTATTTGAAGAAATAATGACAGAAAACTTCCCCCACCTGGTGAAAGAAATGGACTTACAGGTCCAAGAAGCGTGGAGAACCCCAAACAAAAGGAATCCAAAGAGGACCATACCAAGACACATCAGAATTAAAATGCCAAGAGCAAAAGACAAAGAGAGAATCTTAAAAGCAGCAAGAGAAAGAAACTCAGTTACCTACAAGGGAATACCCATACGACTGTCAGCTGATTTCTCAACAGAAACTTTGCAGGCCAGGAGGGAGTGGCAAGAAATATTCAAAGTGATGAATACCAAGAACCTACAACCAAGATTACTTTATCCAGCAAAGCTATCATTAAGAATTGAAGGTCAGATAAAGAGCTTCACAGATAAGGAAAAGCTAAAGGAGTTCATCACCACCAAACCAGAATTATATGAAATGCTGAAAGGTATCCTTTAAGAAGAGGAAGAGGAAGAAAAAGGTAAAGATACAAATTATGAACAACAAATATGCATCTATCAACAAGTGAATCTAAGAATCAAGTGAATAAATAATCTGATGAACAGAATGAACTGGTGATTATAATAGAATCAGGGACATAGAAAGGGAATGGACTGACTATTCTTGGGGGGGAAAGGGGTGTGGGAGATGCGGGAAGAGACTGGACAAAAATCGTGCACCTATGGATGAGGACAGTGGGTGGGGAGTGAGGGCGGAGGGTGGGGTGGGAACTGGGAGGAGGGGAGTTATGAGGGGAAAAAAGAGTAATAATGTAATAATCTGAACAATAAAGATTTAATTAAAAAAAATTCCCTGATCAAAATTCAGACCCTCATATTAGATGTTTTAAAATCCATCACTCACATCAAAATGTGCCTAAAAAGGCAGATTTAAAACAAAAGGATAGCCATTGCTGGAATTTCTCAGTGGTTAGAGTGTTGGCCTATACATCAGAGGTTGGCAAGTTCAATTCCAGTCAAGGGCACATACCTGGGTTACAGGTCTGATTCCTGTTCCCCGCAACGGCGCATGTAGGAGGCAACCAATCACTGTGACACATCGATGTTCCTCTCCCCCCCCCTCCCTTCACTCTTTCTTTAAAAATAAATGGCAAAGAAACCATCAACAAAACAACGAGAAAACCCACTGTGTGGGAAAACATATTTGCCAATGTCATATCTGATAAGGGCCTAATCTCCAAAATTTATAGGGAACTCATACAACTTAACAAAAGGAAGATAAACAATCCAATAAAAAAATGGGCAAAGGACCTAAATAGACACCTTTCAAAAGAGGACATTCAGAAAGCCAACAGACATATGAAAACATGCTCAAAGTCACTAATCATCCGAGAGATGCAAATCAAAACAACAATGAGGTACCATCTCACACCTGTCAGACTGGCTATCATCAACAAATCAACAAACGACAAGTGCTGGAGAGGATGTGGAGAAAAAGGAACACTTGTGCACTGCTGGTGGGAATGCAGACTGGTGCAGCCACTATGGAAGACAGTATGGAGTTTCCTTAAAAAACTGAAAATGGAACTCCCATTTGACCCTGTGATCCCACTTCTAGGAATATATCCCAAGAAACCAGAAACACCAATCAGAAAGGATATATGCACCCCTATGTTCATAGCAGCACAATTCACCATAGCTAAGATCTGGAAACAGCCTAAGTGCCCATCAGTAGATGAATGGATTAGAAAACTGTGGTACATCTACACGATGGAATACTATGCTGCTCTAAAAAGGAAGGAACTCTTACCATTTGCAACGTCATGGATGGAACTGGAGAGCATTATGCTAAGTGAAATAAGCCAGTCAATGAAGGAAAAATACCACATGATCTCACTCATTCATGGATAATAGAGACCATTATAAACTTTTGAACAATAATAGATACAGAGGCAGAGCTGCCTCAAACAGATTGTCAAACTGCAGCAGGAAGGCCGGGGAGGGTTGTGGGGCAGGAGGTAGGGGGGTAAGAGATCAACTAAAGGACTGGTATGCATGCATATAAGCATAACCAGTGGACATAAGACATTGGGGGATAGGGGAGGCTAGGGGACTGTCTAGGGCGGGGGGATAAAATGGACACATATGTATTACCCTTTGTAATACTTTAAGCAATAAAAAAAAATAATAATAAATAAAATAAAATAAATGGCAAAAATATCTTCACACCTGGGTGAGGATTAAAAAAATAAAAGAATATGTTAAATTAAAGAATAAACTTTCAGTTAAATAAGGTGGATTAAACTCTGCTCCCTCCCAAAGCCCCTGAAATAAGAGTAAAGGGATTTTGTAAATAGTATGAACCATCAAGAACAAAGAGAAGAGGACAAAAACAAAAACAAAACAAAAAAGCAGTTAATATATGTAAAAACACTTTTGGAATATGGAATTGGAAAGAGGTATTAGTAGATTCAAAGCAGATCAGATGAGATCAGATGCCATTTTTGTTAAATGAACATTCAGAGGGGAAAAAGAACTCTTGGAAATGAAAATTATAAATAATGAAATTTAAAAACTCAATATAAGTTTAGAAGAAATCATTCAGAAAATAGAAAGATAAAGAAATGGATAATAGCAGGGGGGAAAGGTGAAAAAATCAGATCAACTCCAGAATTCCAAAATCTGACACATAATGAGTTCCAGAAAAGAACAGAAAAATAGAGGGGAGAAAATTACAAAAGAAATGAAATTTTCCAGAACTGAAAAACTCAGAGGTGGGAGTCATCTCTTCTGCCTGTAGGAGTTTGAGGTGTCCCAACGTTAGGCTCAGGGAACCTGGAGTATCACATCCATAGAACCCATTGAGTGTCTGTCAATGCCTATACCCACACTAACACTTCTAGAAGCTACATCCTCCTGCTGATGTATATGGAGCTTGCAATCCACAAAAAAAAAATTAAGAGTTCTTCTCACCCATGTTGCTACTGAGCCACAAGCCCTAAACTGCATCTGCACAGTTAACTCTTCTAGTCCCAAATGCAGTTTCTCACTTTTCCTTGGTAAAATCCACCTTTCCAGAGTTGGTCCCCTGTTTCAGTCTATGGAGCTCTTGGCCTGTTCTTCTTGGCCTATTCTCCGCCAGCACCACCATCAGCAGAGCCCTGAAACACGAATTCAAATCATGAACAGAACAAAGACAAGAGCAGGGCCCTTCCATAAGTCTAGGGTTGAGGGTGGGGAAGAATCCTTCCCAAGTAAAATCTTTAAGTGGTTATAAATATGCTAACATCACCAGGTGGTCAGGGGATGTCCTAAGGTTACATCAAAACCTTACCTAAAATCCAAAAATACTTTGTCTGATATTCAAAAAAACTGAAATGGGTATGCCTTATTCCCAATGAGCCCAATCAAGCCCAGTGACAAACCATTTCCTAAGTGCTTACAAGCCCTGTCTATAGATATCTGTGGAGCCCACCTCCTTTGTCGTTTTGCTAAATGGATATTAGTCATCTTTAGGCCCAGGCCCTCTGCTGTCTCTAACGCACCCTGTAGGTCACCAACTATAACTTCAGTACTCCAGGTGACCTTGCCAAGGTCAGAAGATGAATCACTCAACTTGGGGTTCATGTCCCTCCTATCACCATCTGTCCTACTTTTTCAAGTTCAAAAGAAAAAACGGAAACAAAACAAGACTCAAGTCCCTCCCATTTCTTTCTTTCCATCCTAATGTTATGCCATTGGCCTCCAGCACCAGGCATTGTTTTGTTCTTTTTCCAAATACATGGAACAGCCCTCTTGGTTGTCCTGTTTCATTGCAAGCTTCAGCTCAATCTGGACCACATAAACCTTCATGTTTAGTCACATGTCCTCCTTTCCATCTGTGTTCTCCCCTCACCCCAACTGATTTCTTTATTTTTTATTGTTGAAAGCTTTACAGATGTCGCCTTGTTTCCCTCCGTTGACCCCCTCTACCCCGCTTCCACCCCTTCTCCAGGCCTTCACTGCACTATTGTCTGTGTCCATGGGCTATGCATATATGCATGTAAGTCCTTTGGTTAATCTCTTCCCATCCCTCCTTCCCTCTAAAACATGTCAGGCTGTTGCATCTTTGTTGTCTCTGGTTCTATTTTGTTTGTCAGTTTATTTTGTTCATTAGATTCCACATATGAGTGAGATCATGTGATGCTTGTCTTTCTCTGTCTGGCTTATTTCTCTTAGCATAATACTCCCCATGCTGTCTCAAAAGGTAAGAGACCCTTCTTTTTTACAGCTGCATAGTATTCCATTGTGTATATGAACCACAGTTTTTTTATCCATTCATCTACTGATAGGTACTTGGGCTATTTCCAGATCTTAGCTATTATAAATAACTAGTGGCCCCGTGCACGAAATTCGTGCATGGGGGAGGGGGTGTCCTTCAGGGGATGTCCAACTGCTGGACATCCACTGTGGGATCGGGCCTAAACCGGCAGTCGGACATTCATCTCACAATCCAGGACTGCTGGCTCCTAACCACTCACCTGCCTGCCTGCCTAATCGCCCCTAACCACTCTGCCTGCCAGCCTGCTCGCCCCCAACTGCCCCTCCCACCAGCCTACTTGGCACCAACTGACCCCCCCCCCCCCCAGCTGGCCTGCTTGCCCCCAGAGTCCAGCCCCGCCAGCCTGATTCCAATTGCCCCCCCCCCCTCGCTGGCCTGCTCGTGCCCAACTGCCCCCCTGCTGACCTGCTCACTCCAAACTGGGCCCCCACTGTCCTGATCACCTCCAACTGACCCCCACTGACGGCCTGCTTGCCCCCAACTGGCCTCCCTGCTGGTCTGCTTACCCCCAACAGCCCCGCCCCCCACCAGCCTGATCACCCACAACTGCCCTCCCCTCTTGGCCTCTAACTGCCTCTACCTCAGCCCCGCCACCATGGCTTTGTCCAGAAGAACATCGGAAGGTCTCCTGGAAGGTCTCCCAGTGTAATTAGCACATTACCCTTTTATTAGTATAGATAGAGGCCTGGTGCACAGGTGGGGGCCGGCTGGTTTGCCCTAAAGGGTGTCCTGGACCAGGGTGGGGGTTCCCTTGGGGCGTGGGGCAGCCAGGGCAAGGGGCCTGTGGTGGTTTGCAGGCCAGCCACACCCCCATGGGGTGAGGGTCACCGCTGGGGGTGTGTGACAAGCCTGGGTGAGGGGCTGAGGGAAGCAGGTATCTGGGATTTATTTATCTTCTATAATTGAAACTTTGTAGCCTTGAGCGGAGCCCAGGGCCAGCCAGGGTGGGCAGGGAAGCTTGGCTTCCTCCATTGCCGGGGACAACCCAAGCCTCCTGCTCGCTCCAGCTACGTGACCACTGCCATCTTGGTTGGGTTAATTTGCATACTCACACCTGATTGGCTTGTGGGCGTGGCTTGTGGGTGTAGCAGAGTGACACCAAGTTGCATGTTTCTCTTTTATTAGTGTAGATGCTGCTATGAACATAAAAAATATGGAATGCTTCACGGATTTGCATGTCATCCTTGCACAGGGGCCATGATAATCTATTGTTCCAATTTTAGTATACTGTATTTTTCCATGTATAAGATGCCCCCAACTATAAGATGACCCCCACTTTTCCTACCCAAAATTAAGAAATCAGTATTTTAAACATAAAACAGAACACATTTTTATTTAGTAATTACAGTAGGTAATGTTTACATACCAGTACTATGATATTATGCAGCATATCCCTTTATCCAACCTCTGTTGCATCACTGCTCTCTTCTTCATCACTATTAGTTCCAGACATATAAATTTCTTCAACTTCTATTGTATCACTGCTGTCTTATGAGTCACTGTCTATATATGTGAGATCATCCTCATAAACAGGTGGCATTTTCTGAGCTAACTTTGTTCGTGTTCTCATGGCCAACCCTTCTCTCCTCATGAAACTGAAGCACCATTTTGCCTTTCCTATAAAATCAACAATGTTCATTTTGCTTGCAAACATTCTTGCCTGACATTGAATAAGCTTGGTTGATACACATAAGCCACTCTGGCACTGTTCTATAATCCAAGTCTTAAGCCCCTGCTCCAAGTTTGCCCATTTTGCTGGTTTTCCTCTTAAGGCCTTCTTCTTTTTTGGCATCTTAATGAGTTTTCTTCCTGTTTTCTCCACTGTCTGATCAGACACTCAGTGGGAGGAGGTCCAAATTGTCTCTCTGCAGCTCTATTTCCATGTTCTTTTTCATAGCTGATTACATTCAGTTTGAATTTTGCAGAGTAAGACAATCAGACGAGATCGGGCGCGTTCAGGGTGGTGTGGCCGTAGACAGAGTAAGACAATCACTTACCGGTATTTATCTTTTTATTTTTTGACATCTTTATGGGCTCAGAACGCTCTGGTCTCTGTTGCATCTGCATACTCTTCACCTCCACTTCCAATTACGGCATCAGCTGATGTCAGTAACAATAAGGCTCAGGATTGGAGGAAGCCTGTTTGACAAGGTATGGGCAGCCACGAACCCCTGTGGCTACCTCCTCGGGTGACTTCGTGTATAAGATGCTCCTCCGTGTATAAGATGCTCCTCCGTGTATAAGATGCCCCTCAATTTTCAGTCTAATGACTTTATAAAAAAAATAGCATCTTATACACAGAAAAATATGGTATGTGCTGCTGAAGTGAGCACTCCATCTGTTTTCCAATCTCTGTCAACAGAGGGCTTTCCAGGTACTTATATCAGTTTCTAATCACTGCCTTGTTTTCCTCATGGGTGCCACTTTCTCATTTCTAAGAGTTTCCCAACCATCTTGAACAATTTGCCACTTAAGAATGTCCCAGTTCAGCCCTAACCGGTTTGGCTCAGTGGATAGAGCGTCGGCCTGCGGACTCAAGGGTCCCAGGTTCGATTCCGGTCAAGGGCATGTACCTTGGTTGCGGGCACATCCCCAGTAGGGGGTGTGCAAGAGGCAGCTGATCGATGTTTCTCTCTCATCGATGTTTCTAACTCTCTATCCCCTTCCCTTCCTCTCTGTAAAAGTCAATAAAATAAAAAAAATTAAAAATAAAAAAGAATGTCCCAGTTCATCCTCTTCTATCCTGAAATTTTGAAAGCTTCATCCTGAACATCTAGTTCCCCTACTCTCCCCAACTCCCAAACTGCCTGCCAGGTCTTCAAGTGAAGACTGTGCCTGGGCCCAGCCTTCAGAAGCATTCCGTTTGGTAATGGCTGTGTTTAGGGGCTCCCTCCTCTATCTCAGCTCTACCCTTTCTTTCCTTCTACATCACCTTCAGGGCCTCAGGGCCTGTCCTTGGCCCCTAGAGGGTGCCAGGTAGGGCTCCCACACTGGGGATTAGCCCCTGCTTGAGATCTTCCCTCTAAGCTCCTCCCCCAGTCTCTCAGTTGATCCCTCTCTGGCTACCTTCCCAGGGCACACAGTTGTTAGGGAGTTTCCTGGGGTCACTGTCGTTACCTAAAGAGTAATGTGGAAAGTATATGATGGGTCCATCCTTTCCAGTGCTCCTACCCTGACCCTACTGAAGTAGCCACCTCTCCTTGGAAGTGACCCTGACCCCAGTGCTGTCCAGCAGGCCCAGGCCAGTTTTTCTGGTTTTAGAGAGATGTCACTTGATCTGATTCATCAGCCCTATGGGCTTTGTTTTTTCATTTTCATTCACTCTGTCAAAAGGTCTGGGAGCCAAGTTTGCACACATTTGAAGAAAATAAAAAGCAAGCTGTGTTACCTTCTAGATATTAAATTACTCAGACTATTGACTCATTCAACCTGACCTTTCTCCCAGCAAATGCCAAGGAGTCCTGGCAGGGCAAAAACAACTCCTGAGGGCAGGAACCCTCCTCAGCTTTCTCTTACACACTCCTAGGACCTAGTAGAAGCAGGGCTAGGCATTAAAACAATCGCCCACATACTACAGAGCTCCTGAAAGGCAATTCTGTGCACAGTCTTTTGGCAAGACCACTGTGAACAGTTTTTATATCTAATGTTTTTAACCTGAACCTCTTTGTGTGATGTGACCAATGCCTGGCCACACCCTTATATGAGCTTCCTGTCTGTATTTTGCCCAGTATTCATAGTGATTTCCTTCTGAAACCAGTTGGCAAGTCTGGTTTCCTTTTCTCTGCTGAAGAGACTGACTTTAAAAATAAAATAAATATATACAGAGGGTAGATGCTCAAC